AAATTTTATTCTATTTTATAGTTTCAAAGTGTGACTATAATCTTTTCCTTCGGCAGAAGCATAAAAATTGCAAAGTAAGTTTCTCTGGCATAGCAATAATGCAACAACTGAGCACAGAAATGTGGTTGGAGAAAAAAATACAGTAAGTATCAAGAATCTGGCTTCTCAAGCATGGCATAGCCACTCTTCAGTGACATCTTTGCAGTCTCCTTGAGGAATCGTTGTTATGGTTTGAGTCTGAAATGTGCCACATAGGCTCCTGTTTTTAAAAGCAACCCTGGTACCATTCATTGGCACATTCCCAGTGCCCTGGACTAAGCCATTCTACCAAGCCATTCCTCCTCTGAAACCACTGAATGGTGAATGAAAAGAAACCTTCAACTGTTTCTGTCACAGCAACACAAAGTAACTAGTTCAACTGGCAAAGTGACAAGACGCCTCCCCTGTTCTGCAAAGGCCATTTATCTACTATTTTATATAAAATTTCAAAACAAGTCACTAAAGAAAATGAATATTCCCTAATTATGTTGACATTTTTCTTTAAAAAAAAAAAGGATTTATTTATTTATTATGTATACAACATGTATGCCTGCATGCCAGAAGAGGGCAACAGAGCCCACTATGGTTGTGAGCCACCATGTGGTTGCTGGAAATTGAACTCATGACATCTGGAAGAGTAATCAATGCTCTTAACCTCTGAGCCATCTCTCCAGGCCCATGTTGACATTTTTCTATCAAGGACTATTTTACTGGGGATGGCAAGATGGCTCAGTAGTTAAGAGTACTAGCTGATCTTCCAGAGGACCTGGGTTTGATTCCCAGCACCTACATGGTGGCTCACAACCCTGTGTAACTCCAGTTCTAGAGGATCCAATGCCCTCTTCAGTCTTCTACAGGTATCAGGTACAAATGTGATGCACAAACATAAATGCATATAAAATAATATTAAAACACTCAAACACATAAAGGAATTCTTGAAATATTTATTTATATTTATTTGCTTATTTATTCTACAGCCTGGCTGCAGTTTACCCTCCCTCCTCTCCTCCCAGTTCCTCTCCCCATCACCACTCTGCTTGAACACCCCCCGTCATCCACTCTTCCTCTGCTTCTATTTAGGAAAGGGCAGGTCTCCCCTGGATATCAACAAAACATGGCATATCAAGTTGCAGTAAGACTAAGCACCTCCCCATGTATTAAGGCTGGGCAAGATGACCTAGTATGAGGAAAAGGGTCCCAAAAGTCAGTAAAAGAGTCAGAGACAGCCCCTGCTCCCACTGTTAGGAGTCCCACAAGAGAACAAATCAAAGGCATCCCTCAGCAGAGAGAGTGCCTAGTGCATGAAGAGTGCCTAGAGAACACTCAGGAGCTGAAAGGGGAAGTGAAGACAAAGAACAAAATTCATAATTCACTCCCTCAAAGCAGGTGAGCACAACGTTAGCATGGAACAGCTGTTGCGTGCCTTGAAGACAGAAGTCAAATCCCAACCATACAACATCAATGTCCAAGACATTGTGGGAGAGAGACTAGACTCACATAAGTGTAGGGGAAGGAAGCAAATAGTGGAAGTGAATTTGGAGACATAATGTCCAAGACATCATGAGAGAGAGAATAGACTCACATAAGTGTAGGGGGAGGAAGAAAACAGTGGAAGTGAATTTGGAGACATCAATGTCCAAGACATTGTGGGAGAGAGACTAAATTCACATAAGTGTAGGGGGAGGAAGCAAATAGTGGAAGTGAATTTGGAGACATAATGTCCAAGACATCATGAGAGAGACCTAGACTCACATAAGTGTAGGGGGAAGAAACAAATAGTGGAAGTGAATTTGGAGACATCAATGTCCAAGACATCGTGGGAGAGAGAATAAACTGACATAAGTGTAGGGGGAGGAAGCAAATAGTGGAAGTGAATTTGGAGACCTATAGAATGTGAGATTTCACAGCTTTCACAGTAAACCAATCTGATTTATCTGAAAAAGAAATGTGCTCCAGTTATTACTGCAAGGCAGGTACTGGCCAGGTTCAGCCTCAATCTTCAGAAGAGTCTAAACATCCGCGCATTTCTTTAAAAGCCTACTTGACTTCATTTTCATTCATTTTTATACCAAAGAGGGTTTTTTAAAAAAGTTATTGTTTGACATAGTATTCTCTAATTTAATGTAAAAATTTTAAACAATTTCAGATATGTAATCTGTTTAGTTATCATAAAATAATTTCTGCCTTTAGTATATCAGCAAAAGGCTTTTTTAGGGAGTTAGTATAGAAAACAAAGACAATAAGATTTTGTAATGAAGAGAAAAAAACAAAATACTGGCATAAGAAAGAAATCTTTAAAAAAATAAATAAAAGAAGTTATATGCATTCATTTTTTAAAATTCACAACAAAAGTTTTTCTTTTTTTTTAAAAAAAAAAAAGCTCTTTCATACTACTTCCAAATTTACAGTGAAACTCTCTCAAATATAAACCTTTAACCACTTAATACCTTCATGGATATACTTCACAAAAAAAAGGATAGGGAAAGAGCAAATCTTTATTTTTTTAAGTGTGCAAACATTGTATCTCACTATCTTTTCCTCGTAACTTATATTTTGAGAGATTTTCCAATAAGCATAAAAAAATTAATAATACTAGCAACATTTGTCAAGCACTTACAGTGTACAAAGCTACATTTAATATTCAGGAACACCCTATGAAACAAGTACTATATAAGGATAGTGCAGTTTCAAGGTCATCATAGTTACATAATTAACTAGGAAAGATGCCAAGATATGAACATAGTGATGCCACAGTTTACCACTGTTAATCTGCTATACAGTCCATTCAGTGGATACACCAAAATGTATTCAACAAGCCTCTATTCATGGACACTATGGTATTTCTAGTTTTCCCAAACATTATCACTTGAATATAAATTCTCCAAGGCAAAGATTGAGAATTATGGGTGACTTTTGTCTTCCTTTTGGGCCTTTCGTATTTCTAAATTTTCTGTAGAAAATGATTTTATAGTGAGAAAAATAGGTTTAGAAACTATAAAATATAAAATAGCTTGCCTAGCCCTAAAAAAGATAGGGGCAGGGGGGTTTAAGTTAGATCTCTACAACAGGCCTAGCTATAAACTCCCATCATTCTAGCACTTTAAAGATTAAGGCAGAAGAATTGCCATAAGTCCAGGCCACCTGAGCAACAGTGTAAGGCACTGCCTCAAAAAGAGGAAAAGTCACACACTAACACACACACACACACACACACACGCACACGCACACGCACACGCACACGCACACGCACACGCACACGCACACGCACACGCACACGCACACGATCAAGTTTTCAAAAGCTAACAATTCTGGTTATAGTTCATGTTTACTATTTCTCTATTTGCCCAAAGTTAGTTCATACCTCAGGTAAAGACAGTGAAAATGCCTAATAACAAACTAACAAGAGCAGTAGGAACACTCCAATGGCCATCACTATTACACTCTGTCTCCAGTCTTTTACAGACACTCAACTGTAAGTTGAGGCACTGTCTTTGAGTCACTTTTATGTGAACTTGTCTAAAGTCTTTAGGATGAGCCAGAGGACTGGACCAGCAAGACCACTGAAAGCCAAAGAAAATTAAACTCAGGATGAGATGTAGACAACAGAACAGAAAGAGTTCTTCTTGATGTATTCAACACTTCAAATATAACTCATTTTCTAAGTATTACGTTTGAAATAAAAATATACATATTTCAATATATATTGAAATTTTAAAAAAGATAACAGCTGTTTCATGGTTCCCATCTGACACAATTTCAGGATACATGCCAAAGCCTTATGAAGTATTGTGTATTTCAGTATATCTTAATTTCTGCTGCTAACACAGTAACAACACTGCTCCCCACTCTATAGAACATATTAAATTATAATACAGAGGGGGGAGAAAACTCAAAAAAGTACCTGAAAATGTTGGTACTGACCTAAAATTTATAAGTAGAAACAGGTGAAAAAAGCCTACAGTAAAAAGTCAATCCTCAAAAATAAATAAATAAAATTATACATATATAATACACACACACACACACACACACACACACACACACACACCCTTAATTCCATCCCCTATTTCTTAAGAATGGAGTCAGAATCGTTTTGCCCACAAACATATAAATCATATTCTTTGTATAAGTTATATACATTAGTAAATCCTAGTTTATTCAGAGGTTTTTTGGGGGGTTTTGTTTTGTTTTGTTTTTCCTGTTTTTAAGACAAGGTCTCCTCTGTACTCCAGGCTGGACAAACTCATAAGATGTCCCTGCCTCAGCTCCAGAGTGCTGGGAGGGACTATAAACACAAACCACCATACTGGATTATTCTAACTTTTAATGTTAGAATGTGTGCTCTCAAATGTGTGCTCTCTCCTTTACCCCTTCCTACAGTATTTCACTACAATTCATAACATGCTTGTAGCCAGACATGGTGGTACACACCTTTAATCCCAACACTCTTGAAGCAGAGCCAGGGGGATCTCTATCAGTTCAAGAACAGCTTTGTCTACATAGTAAAAATTCTTTAGGGGGGATCAGGGGGCACAACACAATACACTTGTGAAAATCTGAATATTGTTTTCCTTAGATCAGGAAGAAAGCAAGGATTTCTACTAGTTCAACACTACACTGGAGGTTCTAGCCAAAGAAATAGGGCAGGAAAATAAAAGGTGAAGTATGAGGAAGAGTAGAGGTCACAAAAGAGTCCAGTCAGGGAGACACCAGTTTTACAACACCAGGCTGTCACCCTCAGCTACAGTTGATAAAGGATATCAAGCGGCAAGTCCCTAGTCTCCAGCCAGGAACACACCTGAATTAGCTTTAGTGGAAGAGAAATGAAGGAGTCATAAAACACTAAGGGTATGGAGAACTTGCCTGCACTCTACACTATATTCCAAGGAGAGATTGCTAGAGTGACAGTCACCTTATCAAAATCCCAAGCCACTGGGAAACAGGTCTTACCACGTACTTACCTGTTATGCTGTCAGATGATGAGCCCTCTGAGATTCTAAGGCTACAGAAGCTCATCGACTGAGATATGAAATGACAGGATAAACTGTCTTTTCTCTATGGAGACTGCATCAGCAAGAAGAAAGACAGAAGTAATGCTTTCAGGATGGATTACACTGGGCAAAAGATGCACGCCTGAGCCATCCTGAACACTACTTGAAGAAATTGGCTGTAAAGATCATGTCACAAAACACTGTTTCGAAAACAACATCAGGAAGAACCAAATACTCTGTAAGATTTGGTGAGGAAAAGAAGTAAAAATCAGCAGAATTTGGTGATAGGACATCATGTGACTGACCAGTCAGACTGAGAAGGATCAGCAGCAGTGAAAGCACATCACGCACAGCAAGGCTGCTGCAAAGACAGTGGCAGCTGCTGTTAAAATGCTTGCCCCACAAGAACCAGAGTTTGACCCAGCACCCAGCTAAAAAGCTGGGTGTCTCTTCAGTTTGCTGTGAAATTATATCTCCTAGGAATGCCAGAAGCTACACCATAAAGTCTCACCAACATGGCTGTCTAAACATGAGCTGCACAATATAGCAAGAGAACCCTTAAGTGGATGGGGAAAGCTCGTGGGGCTCAACCCTACACAAAGAACTACAGCAACTAAGGAATGCTGAGAGTGGAAGTAGTCTTCCCCAGGGGAGAGCACATCAATTAGTTACTCATTACCAAATGATGAGCCCTGAAAACCTACAAATAGCTTTAGAGAGACTGAGCAAGTTGTATTTATGCATTTAAGAACATGTATGTCTGTACATAACAATAATTAATGAAAAAAGAAGCTATGGATTTGAAAGAGAGTAAGGGTGAGTATATGGGAGGGTTTGGAAGGAGGAATGGGAAGGGGTGAAACGATACAATGATTATACTATAATATTAAAACATAAAAGAAAAAATCTAAACTGGGCATGGCAGCACACACCTATAATCCCAGAACAGGAGACTCCTTAGGGCTTCCTGGCCAAAAGTCCAGCCAAATGAGAGAACTCCAGCTTCAACAATAGACCTTGTCTCAAAACAGCGTGGACAGCAACTGAAATTACACCTGACATTGACCTCTGGCCTCCAAACATGTATATAACAAAGAACAAAGACACACAGGCAGGTGGACATACACATGCACATGGGGTAGGGTGAGATTTGCTGACTTTGTTCCCTTGAAGGATGCTCCACTCATTCAACAGACAAATATGGGAGTTAAAGGGAAAGGAAAGGGAACAGGGGATAAGAGAGAGGAAATAAAAATATTCGGATTGAAGCCGGGCGTTGGTGGCACACACTTTTAATCCCAGCACTCGGGAGGCAGAGGCAGGTGGATCTCTGTGAGTTCGAGGCCAGCCTGGTCTCCAGAGCGAGTGCCAGGATAGGCTCCAAAGCTACACAGAGAAACCCTGTCTCGAAAAACAAAAAACAAAAAACAAACAAACAAAAAAAAAAATCGGATTGAAAGCCAAGGAAATAAAACTGTCTTTTACTCATGAAAATTATACTCTACATAGAAACTTGGTGAGACCTTGGTTCAAAACATTTTATTTTTCAAAGGGGGCTAGACTAACCTAAGTTCATGGGATTTCCTGACTCTAGACCAACAGCTAGGGAGCCTGCAAAGAACCAAACTAGGCCCTCTGCATGTGGGTGACAGTTGTGTAGCTAGGTCTGTTTGTGGGACCCCCTGGCAGTAGGACTAGGATCCATCTCTGGTGCATGAGCTGGCTTTTTTGGAGCCCATTCCCTATGGTGGGATGACTTGCTCAACCTTAATGGGGTGGGGGTGGGGGGTCCTGTCGCAACTTAATGTGTCAGACTTTGTTGACTCCTCTTTGGAGGCCTAACATTTTCTGAGGAGTGGATGGGGAGTAGGTTGGAGAGGGGAGGGAGTAGGAGGAGGGGAGGGAGGGGGGACTGTGGTTGGTATGTAAAATGAATTAAAAAATTTAAAACAAAAAAATTATACTCCACGTAGAAAATTTTAAGAAACCCATGAAAAGACAGGAAAATAAATTTATCAAGATCTTAGGATATTACTTGAGTACTCAACAGTATTTATATATCCTAGCAATGAACAACCCAATTTTTTTTCTTTTTTTTTCTTTTATTTTATTAGTTCAAATTAGGAACAAGCTTGCTTCAGATGTCAATCCCTTCCCTCCCCCCCAACATCCCACCTGTCCCTAGCCATCCCCCCTCCCCTCCCCCCGCAGGGCAAGGCCCTCAAAAGGGGGTCCCCC